TAATAATAATAATAATAATAATAATAATAATAATAATAATAATAATAATAATAGATAGATAGATAGATAGCTTTTGTACACATGTATAGCGCAAATTCTCGCTCCACGCCAAGCTCTATGCATTTCACAATCTATACTATTACCCCAGCAGACCTGAGAACACTCTGAAACAACCTCAACTTCCTGGGAAGCATCATCAATGATTTATTTATAGAGACACCAGCCATCCCTGTCCAGGTGCTGTTTTAGCCTTCCTGGGAAGCATACAGTGCAAGCGGCCATTTATAAGCTCTAAAACACTAACATACTGACAAGATCTTTCGCTGTCTATGGTCGGGTACCCATTCCCACTTGGGTGAAGTGAGGAAAATTTGTGTGAAGTGCCTTTCCCAAGGGCACAACGTCGGGCCCGCGGCTCGAACCCCCAAACCTGCTACCTCACGATTCCGAGTACGGTGTTCTAACCACTTTAGGCCACAGACGCCACATTATCGACTTACCTATGGGTCCACCGGTGATGACTGGGGCTTGGTCAGGCAGCACCTGGAGGAATACACACGGCAGGGAGTCCGTCAGGAATGATTGTCGTTCTGGTTTTGGTTTGGTTTGGTAAGTTTTGGTTTGGTTTTTGTTTGATTTGGTTTGTTTTTGTTGTGGCTGTTTTCTTGTTTTGATTGTTAGGTTGATTGGTTGTTTGATTGGTAGGTTCCTTGTGGGGTTTTTTTTTTAATTGTTCATTGTCAACTCGTCCAGTGTCTTTTTTCTCTGTCTGCCTTTGCCTCTCTTTCCATCAAACTTGCTTATTGTTACAATATTTTTCAATGCTTCTTTCCGCATTGTGTGTCCAATGAAATTTTCCAGTAGCTTTCGTATATTCGTCATAAGCTGTCGTGTGCAATCTGCTTCCCCCAAGACTTCTTCATTTATCTTTCTAGCTGTTCATGGGATACACAGCATGCGTCTTATGAACCACAACTCTGTCGCCTCAATTGTTCTTTCCAGCTGTCTATTGTTTGTACAGGCTTCGCACCCGTATAATAGGATTGGCTCGATATAACTTTTCAGTACTCTTTTTCTTGTTTCCGGTGACAGATTGATGTTTGTTAGTATCTGTTTCATTTTGTGGAAGGTTGCTTTTGTTTGGCCAATGCAGCTTTTGATGTCGGTGTGACTTCTCCCATCTGTGATATAATGGCCCCCAAATATTTAAAATGCTGTACTTGCTTGAACGTGGTACCATTGATTTTGATGTTGCAGGTTGGGGTTGGGGTTTTTTCTGCTTATCGCCATTGTTTCAGTTTTATTGATGCTTAGGCTTACGCCCACGTTGTCACTCTCTTGTTCGATGACATTTAATAGATTCTGTAGGTGTTCTTCATATTCTGCTATTAGGACTGTGTCATCTGCATATCTTAGATTGTTTACGTTATGTCCCCCAATCGAGATACCTGACATTTTTTCTATGTGTCTGATGATATTTTCACTGTGCAGGGAGAACAAGTCTGGTGAAAGTACACATCCCTGTCTGACTCCTCTTTCAATCTGTAATATATATATATATACATACACGCACACACACACATACATATAAATATGCTCTCACACACAAACAAATCTACTCTCATGGTCACGTACCTTAACACGAAGAGTCTGTAATTCCGATACTGCTACCCCAGCGGGATCCGAACAGCGGACGCTCAGATCATAGGTGGGCTCTGTCTGGTAGTCTAGACTACTTCCTGCATTCGCTTTCCCGATATAGTAAACTTGGTAACCTGGGAAACAGGCAGACAACGGAAAACAATCATTATTTAACATTTGTATAGAGCTCAAATTTCCGCTCAATAGCAAGCTTATAATTGATGCATAAGAAGAAGAAGAAGAAGAAGAAGAAGAAGAAGAAGAAGAAGAAGAAGAAGAA